GGCTGCACCACCTTCAGAAGCATTTCCAACCCAGGCAGGGGCCGCCCTGCTCCCTGCTGCAAGAATGACAGCCTCATGTGTCTGAAAGCTGACACTTCAGCTTTTAAAAGAAATGGAGGAAAATAAGCTGTTGACTTCTCGGTTAAAGTATTTTCTTGTTCTAACTCATGTTCTTATGTCACTGGGCTAAAAAAGAGAGAGAGGGAGAAGAGAGAGGAGAGAGAGAGATATGACTTTCCTTGAATGATCTGTTTAACCTAAGCCAGGGGAAAAAAAAGAAAGTCATTAATTACTTATGTGAGCTATTGCTTCAGAAAGACAATAAACCTGCCCGGTCGCCATGGATATGACATATTTGCTCTGAAAACAACACAATAATTAGCAAAGGGGAAAGATACAAGGAGAATATGCAAACTCCTGAGTTTAAAGCTACAGTGCTCTTTTCTACGCTTAAGCTTCTGTTCTGTTTGCAATCCAAATCAAACAAATTTGAAAAATATAGCAAAGGGGGGGAAAGAACAGGAATGGCTTCTCTCTCCTTTGACCTGAGAAGCAACACCCATTTCACCCCTTTCCAAAACAAAATAATATAAAAGAGAAGCAGAATGGCAGAAGAAAAAAAAAAGTCAAGAATTACCTCTTTTTTTCTTTCCTATAGCAGGGGTGGAGTCTGAGGCTTGTTTTGTTTCTTTTCTTTTCTTTTCTTTTTTAAAATAAGTGCTCTTATTTAGCACTGGACCTTCTGCCAGATATAAATTTATTTATGAACGCCAAATGCCCCGTGTGTGGCTCACCCCTCCCCAAAGTGAATGGAAATGGGCAAGGGTGGGTGGAGGTGGGGGGCTCGAGTTGGAGGAGGAAAGCACACTCAGAAAGCATCCACTCTAGACGAGGACAGCCACTTCCCCCACCTCCAGGAAAATGGAACCCAGGCCTTCCTTTAATATTAAAAATGTATTGAATGGTTTTACCTACAACTTAGTCCCCAAGGATCGCCAGGAAATGCAATCGCTTTGTATCATCTCTGGCAGCGTGATAAACACTGGCGTTCAGAGTAGATTTGCAGTTTTTCCAAGTGTCACAAAGCGAGACCATTTCTTTTTTGCCTTACTTTCTTCATTCACTGCACCCACCCCCTGCAAAGTCACAGATCCACAGAGGACGGCCGGAGGAAAGGAGAGGAGGAGAAAAAGTTGGTGTGTTCTCACACGCCAGACAGACTTTACTGATATTCTCCTAAAAAGGAGGGAAGAAGGGAGTTTAAAATATTTGGGTGAGTATTTAAAAAAAAATTAAAGCACTCTATTAAGTTCGAGTCAAAAACTCTTCCCTCTTCCCAGAGGCTAATTTTCCAAAAACAGATGGTCAGAATCTCAAAGAGAAGCAAGTACACCTCAACCCCCACAGGCAGAGAAATCTAACTTTGAACTTCCTTTTAAATTAAGGGGGGGGGCAAGATAAACTATTAATAAGTATGAAAAATTAGCTGAGCTGCAAGTTTTGTTTTTCTTATTCCAAAAATTCTTTAAACACAAGGGGAGCAGATATAAAGGAGAGGTTCCCATTTGAGTGACTTCCTATTTTTTTAAACAATAGTTGGGGTTTTTTTTTAGATTGGACTCTTTGATCTTGAAAGAATTTTGCTCTTATATGATGGGGGAGAAGGGGTGGTGGTGAAGTGATCTGTTTTAAATGATGATGCAACTTAGGGATCAAAGCCTTCGCTTTCTTCCAGCCATAATAAGCTGTACTTGCCACAAAGCGTGAGTCTCCCGGCTCCTCTGCTGGGTAAGAAGGAAATAAAATGCACTGAGACTCAGCAAGACGCGAAGTCTCTGCAAGGTGCAAAGTCGAGAGAGAGAGAGAGAGAGAGAGAGAGAGAGAGAGAGAGAGAGAGAGAGAGAGAGAGAGAGGGAGAAGCACTGCCCCTTTAAACGTTTTAGTGCATATGGAGTTTGATTTCTGAAAGAGATCAGTTTAACATCTCCATAGAAACCAGCAACAGATTATCATCAACAGAATAAATAACTAGTCTAATAAATTAAACAGGAGGCATAAGATCGCTGGAAACCTGATTACTGAAGTTCAACAATATTCCCCATAAACTCTCGTTAACCGCCTCTAAGGTGGCTAACAAGATGGGAAGGGGGGGGTGCTCGCTCTCCAATTCGCCGGGTTCAGGGTAGAGAAACGGTGGCCGCTGCCCGAAGGGAGAAGTTCCCCACCCTGCCCTTCAGGGGGTTTGAGAACTCGAAGGAACGCAAATCATACAGCGAAGTTTGGGAAGTGGGAAAGCGGCTGGGCGTCGGGGGAGGCAGCGCGAGTCGCCGAAGAAGGCGCGGGACGCGCCGCCCGCCCGGGACTCACCGCCGCACGGCCACCTCGGCGCAAACCCGGAGCTTTGCGCTTGGGCGCCGAACAGCCCAGCGCCCCCTCTGGGCACGTGGAGCGCAGCCCGGGCGCAGCCCCGGGGGACCAACTACCCCCCTCACCACGCCTCGCGCAGCTGCTCCTGCTCAGCTCGGACAGCTCCCTTTAGGAAGGCGACGTGCGTGGTGTGTGTGTGTGTGTGTGTGTGTGTGTGTGTGTGTGTGTGTCCGCGCGCGCGCCAAAGGGTGGGAGGGGGTGGGGGTGGGCGCACCAATTTACCCAGCGATCTGTTTTCCAGTCCCTTCTCAAGCTCTCACCGCGCCTGTACCAGCTTTGTGCCCTCCTAAATTTACCAACTTTGCCAATCGACTGCCCTGGCCTTCCCCCCTCGCTGCTCCCCACCTCTATGAATGTACGGGGTCTTGGCAGGACAACCACGCACTCCGAGAGGGTCGTGCCTCCAGACTCCACTGGGGCAGCGACGCATAATCCCCCCAATCACCCCTTGATCCGGACGGGTTTGGGGGAGCTCCAGGCTCATTGGAGGGGGTGTTGAGCTGTTTCCCTGTGGAACAAATCATACTCATACACACCCGCACCCGCACCGGCATCCTCCCCAGCGCGACTGGAAGGAGGTCCTCGCCGCACCCTGGGCCGGCTTCCCAAGCTGAGGCTGGGTCAAGAGGAACTTGAGTGTAGGGAGAAGCGGCCCCTTGCCTCTCTCGGCACTCTTCGCCTCCCCCAACTCTGGACCCGGGCTGGGGATGACTTGGAAGAAGAATCTGCACCCACCCCCTAGAAAAAAATCTATTATTATTATTTTAATCTACGCCCCCAGTGTCCCTCCTGCCGTGATTGACGGCGCATACACCTGTTCCCCTCGCCGAGGAGCTTTCAACGCCGGGGACGGACATTCGCCCAAATGCTCCGCAGCGGCCCAGCGCCAGCCCTCCGCCCTTGGCCGGCCAGCCCCTGCCCGCCACCCCAGCGCGCCCCTGCCCCACACCTTGCCACCCCAGCGGTTGCCCCCTCCCCTCCTAGGCCCGGTTCCCCCGCCCGCCCGCTCCCGGCCGCGCTGGCTTCGGAAAGAGAGAAAGAACAGAAAGCAAAACTTCCTGGCGGCCGACGGCCATCAGCTGCACATTCTGCAAATGCCACCGAGTAAAAATAAACCGGCCGCCGCTCCGCCCGGCCGGCTCACCCCCGACGCAAGGCTCGGCCCCCTGCCCCAGGAGCTCCCTGACTGCTGGTTGGGCCCTATCCCCCATTCCCGCGCGCCCCCTGGAGCCCCACTCCCCTGCACTCCTCTGCCAGCCACCACACGCTCCTTCGCCCTGAAGCTCGACCCCAAGTGACCAGGTGGCCCGGACCTCTTCCGTTTGGTGCCCCACTGTGCCCCACAAGCCACTCTTCTCTTCGTCCTCCACCTGGTGCCCATTTCAGCCGTGGGCCCCTGGATTCAGGGCTCCTCTTCCTCAAATGCTAAGCTCCGTGGTTATCCTCAGCCCACTCTCAGGGCACAGACTTCGCCAGACCCTCTCCCACCGCGGCCGAGCCCCCTGGGAGCGCACCGCTCCACCCGTCCGCCGGCCCGCCCGCCCAGCGTCCCACGTCTCGGGGCGCAACTTCTCTCCCAGCGCACACAACAACTGCGGCAACTCCCCCGAACTTTTCCCCGGACCCAGGCGGGCTCCGGCCGGCGGCCGCACGGCTCTGAGCCGGTGCCCCGGCTCCCTGTGCCCAGCACTGGCAGCTCTGTGCCCGGGGAGACTGGGGTGGGGGTGGGGGGTTAGGAGAGCCACCAGCCGCGCCCGGAGCAGCGCACTTGAGACAAACTTCCCAGGCACAAATGAAAAAGGGGACGCCGCTCCCCCCATCGAAACAACCCATGGCTTGCGTTTTCCCACCCGGAGGCACCCCTTCACACTCTGCACCTAAGGGAACACTGCCTACCTCTGCCGGTGGCACCTACACCCTGGTAGTGGGGCACAAGAGTCGGCTGGAGGGCTTTCCCCACCCACCCCTTCCCCTGGGCAAAGTCTTGCAAAGTCACCCCGGGTGCCCCTCACCCCTGCCTCCTTCTCTGCCCTAGAGAGCGCGTGAACCCCTGCAACTGGGGGTGGGGGAGCGTAGGGGAAAGGAGTGATTACACGGTATTGGCGAGCACCTGCCCCCCCTTGCCGAAGCCCGAAGCACGGGGGGCGCCCCCACCCTATTTGCAAAGTCCTGCACTCGCGCCTAGCACCTCCCCCTCTTCTCCCCTACCCCGCCGCCCCCTCAGTTGGAGTAAGTGACCCCCAGGAGGAGCAGCCCTCCCCTCCCTCGGAGCCGCGCGCTGGGCATTCCCCTGGCCACGGCGGGCGACGCGCCGCCCTGCGCCTGGGTGCCAGCCCTCCGTGCCCCCTGCCTCCCGCACGGCCGGAGTTGGGTGGCAGCCGCCGCGCGCTGGCTGGCTGGCTGGCTGGCTGGCTCTCTCGCTCGCTCGCTCGCCCGCTCCCAGCGAGCAAGCGGCAGCCCCGGGGGTGGGGGGCTGCACCCGGACAGAGGGCGAGACGCAGAAGCACCTCGGGAGGCTCGCGAAGCTGAGGGGTGTGGGGGGGCCGCGGCGGAGGGAGCGCCGAGTCTCTTACCTGCACTTGGGGCGGCTTTGGGTGACTTTCCAAGTCCGGGGGAAAAATGTGTGTGTGTGTTTGGGATGGAGCGCCGCGGGCGCGCATGCGCTACCCAAAGTTGCCGGATCCCGGATTTTTCGCTCCCAGTCTCCGCTCTCGCCCGCTGTGATTATGGAATTCTCCGCGGCCGAGCGGGCGACTGGGTGGCATGCAAAACCCGGGACGGATCGCGGGGCCGGGCTCCGCTCCGCCCTCGCACCCCCAGACCTTCCCCGTCTGGTTTCTTCCCACCCACCGCCCCGGCTGAGCTCGCCCTGCGCGCGCCCTGAGGCGCGGCCAGCCCAACAGCATCTGAGCGCTCTGGCAACCTTTTGCGCCTGGAGAAGCTTTCCACAATCCCCAAATGAGCGGAGCTGAGGCTGGTATAGACGAGAGAAAGGATCCGTGTGGGTTACTCTTCACCTGTTCTGAAGCCCAGAGAGCCAGTGGGCTTGCCACTTTTCGCGAAGAACTAGCTCTTTTCTGCAAGTTAAGATGTTAGGAACGTGATGTTCTCACTGTTCCACATCTGCTTTACACTGGCTTATTCTTTGCAAGGGGGTTTTTCATTCATTCCGTTGTGTGAGAAATAAATAAGTCTTTAAGCGGGCAGATAGGCAGTGAAGAATGAAGGAGGTGTATGTGTGTGTGTGCGTGTGTGCAGACAAGGAACATTAAAGTACATGAATAATATTATTTCAGGGTGAAAAGACCCGTGAAGAAAATAAAACAAGGCAATGGGATAAAGAGTGTCTCAGGAGAACTAACTTGCCCGGTCTCCAGGTGAAAGAGGGGGGTCTCTGGGAGGGGGGGCCTTCACACCGCATTGGAGAAACGACCTGTTCTCCCCCTTGGCCCATCCGGCCCCCCTTCCAGCTGGTTTGAGGTGGCCGTGCCAGGCTGAGGCTGGGGGTCAGCAGCAGCCCTCTGCCCAATAGCACTGCCCTGCCTTTCCCGGCCAGGGCCCCGCGCTGAGCTAGTCACTGTGCCTGTTTTTCCTTCTGAACAAGAGCAGGATGCAAATAACACCAGCTCGGAAAGAAAGGGGGAAACACTCAGACGGAGAGATAAGTGAGAAATGGGCCACAATGGCAAACCAAATAGCTAAATGGTTTGTAGAATAAGTGAATAAAAATTCAAAGTAGGACCTACGGGTTTGAGAAGTGTTCGACAGAGTGCGTTCAATACGAGCCACACGCCACAGGCTGATAACCATTGCTGCTAGGCTTTGGGCCTAGTCTGCGAGGTTTCAGCGGAGCTTCTCAGGACTGGGAGTGACCGGAAGCCCTGTATGGTGATTGTCCAAGAGAGACATCTGCTGGGATGCCTTCCACGCCCTGCCTAAGCTGGAAGTTAATGGGTAAATGGATAGAGACTGGGGGCTCTATGGCCCTCTGTCCCCAAGGTGGCCGAGATTTGCCTTGTCCCCAAAAAAGCCTCCAGATTTGAGGGAGGAGGCTTACCCGTCCCATGCCCTTTAGTGGCTGAGTGGCCTCGGCTTGTGTTAGACTGGCTGGGGTGAAAGCGGCTCCAAAACGGAGCGCACCTCCTTCCCACCCAGCGGAGGTCTAGGGTCAGGGTTTGTCTGCACAGGAAGGCCAGGTTTGGGGGCGAGACACACCTCTCGGGTCCATTTAACTTTCTCCACTCCTTAGCCCCATAATTAACAGGAAGCAGCAACACATTAATAATTAACAGTCCCCACTGACCACTGACCCATTACTCTCCACTGTCACCCCCCACCCCTGTCCAAGGCACCCTCGGTTCCCCGGAGTTGACTGCTGGCCTCTAAGTCCCTGGTGCCGGGTGACTCAGCGGAATGCACAGCCTCGGAGAGCTCAGGCCCAATCCTGACATTCTGCAGGAGGAGAAACTGAGGCACAGTGAGAGGTGGTGAGTCGAGGAGGGGCAAGGAAGGTCTTCTAAGTTTTGGTTCGGGACTTGTTCCACTCCCGGGCAGTAGGAAGAAGTGAGTGAGCGGCTTGGGCTTTGGGGGGTCACACCCCAGTGACTCCCCCAGCGGAGGAGTGACCTTGAGGAAGGCACCCGCCCCCTCTGTGCCTCAGTCGCCTCAACAGTAAAATGGGGGTAATAATAGTACTTACTGCCTGGGATTGTTGAGAGGCTAAAATGAGTTAATGCAGGAAAAGTGCCTGAGCCAAGACAGTGATCGATAAATGCCAGTAATTGTCATTGCTCCTTGGGACATCCAGTGCTCCCTCTACGTCTCATTGCTTCCTGTCCTCTCTCCCTTCCTTCTTCTCCTCTGTCCTTTTTTTTTCCCCCTCTCCAGCAACAGCTTGCTCTCATTCATTCATTCGGCAGGCATTTTCCCAGCCCCAGCGAGGAGCGGACCCTTCCCAGGGCTGGGGGGCCCAGGCCTTTTGAGCAGCTGGTTGAGGAGCGTGCTAGTCAACCCCCTCCCCACAGTCCCGCTCCAAGTCTCCCCTGCCCCCTCCCCCGACTGCCACATCTCACCCACCAAACTTTTATTAAAACATCTATTCTCCCCTTCACTTTTCTCAGATACTTTGCAGTTCTCCCATCCTCCAACAATGATAATAACACCAAAGCGAGGGGCCAGGAGAGAGCAGCACCCCCAAACAGGAGCCGCAGGTCTCTCCAGCCTCCCAGTGCCAGTGCCCCACTCCCACTCCTGCTCCCCTCACAGGGACTGAAATCAGATGTTCTTTCCCTCCTTTGCCTCATTTTAGCATTTCCCGAGTTTTCCCTGAGATGATACAAACCCCCGGACCTTACCTCCCTCCACCCTCCCCCGGGTCCCCTTATCCCCTCCGTGCTAGCTTCTTGCTGTCCTGGGAAACACCGAGCTTGTCCCTACCTCTGGGCCTTTGCACTTGCTCCTTCTGTGTCTGCGGCTGCCTCTTGGGCATTGTTCAGGTTCTGCTCCCTGAAGTCGCTCCCCAGCCCTCCTCCATCGCTTCACCCTGTCTGAGTGTCTGCAATGACTGGGCTTATTTCTGTGTCCCCACATGTCCTGTCCCGCTGCCCCTGCTAGTTGGGAGCTCCTCGAAGGCAGGGACTCGGTTCTGTGTCCCTTCATGTCCTCAGCTCCTCAAAGAGTGTCTGGCACATAGTAGGCCCTCGCCGTCTGTGCGTCAGGCACTGAATCGAGATAAGCCTCCACGGTCCCCGCCCTGGCAGGGCCTATACTGTAGGAGAATAACCAGAAAGCAACTGGGACAAAGTCTGGGGGAGGGGGAAGGAGCTGGCCCGATCCGGGAGTTGCCGGGATGGCACAGCGGCTTTGCTGAGTTTTCTACTCTCTGGCCTCCGGCTACGGGTGGGCAGTGGGGAAATGCCTGGCTCTGGTGAGCTGTCCCCCAACAGAGGAGGCTGCACTGGAAGCAGAGGAGGTGGGGTCCACTAAGGACTCTATTGAGGTCACCTAGCTATCCTGCTGCCCCAGGTGGGCTACAAGTGACCCAGCACCTTTCCCCTTTCTGAGTGTCCAAGGAGGACCCCCCCCCCCACCTTCCACAGAAGGCGAGCTTCCTGAGGGCAGGGTCTGTGTCTTCACAGCAGAAGCCAAGGAGCCGAGCCCAGTGCCGGGTGCCCCGGGGGCTCTCAGAGGTCGATGGGTGAACAAACAAATTTACACCCACCTGTTTGTGTATTCGGGAAAACTCTGCAAGTAATCCCATTTCAGCTGCCCGGTCAGTTTTCTTTCTTAAAAAAAAAAAAAGGTTATCCTGACCCAAGTATACTTTTTCATTGTTTTGAGAGAGAGAGAGAAAGGGAGGGAAGGGGGTGGTGAGAGAGAGAGAGAGAGAGAGAGAGAGAGAGAGAAAAACATCAGTTCCCCTGACCAGTTGCCTCGAGCAGGAATCGAACCCTCGAACTTTCCATCCACTCCCACCACACCAGCCAGGGCAGTTTTTTGAATTCTAATTCACCGCAGCGAGGGAAAGCAAGACCCAATCGTGGGGCAGTGTTTGCTGAGCGGTCATGTGCCGGGCACCCTGCTGAGCACTTGGTGTATTAGACCCTCACAGCAACTGCCATAAGGGCTGTTGCCGTAAACAATGTACTCCTCCTACAGATGGGGAAACCAAGGCACAGGGAAGTGACTTTCCCAAGGCTGAGCGGGGCTGTCTGACTCCACAGCCGATGTTTTTCACCCCCTGGGACCAGCTACTTGGTCTGGGGTGGGATTGGGGGGGAAGGCGGGGTTAGGGGGACAAAAACCTCCCTCCCCGACTGACTCCAGTGCAACAAGCTTTTTTTTTTTTTTTAACCTTTACTCTGAGTTTCACAAAGAGATGAAACTCGTGAGTGTGTTGGGAGTGGAGGAGGGAGCAGGCAGAACACATCAGTCCCTTACCTGTAAATCCTGTTTTAATCTGGGATAAGACAGAAGGAACCAAAGACATCACAGGACCAACCATCAGACTCTGTACCCGGTAAGCATCCCATCGACGGTGACCAAGAATCACTGTCTTCCAACGAACACATTACAGACCGCGTGCCCGTTTGCCTTTGTCCTCGGCTACCCCTGGTTCTGAGGTTCTCCTTGGGCGAGGCCTGTGTTTTGGGGGGTCACTGGACCTAGCATCGCCGTAGGTACTCAGGAGGCGCTTAGTGACAACAGACGCACAAATGCTTGAGATAAGGGATTGTGGTGATTACTGGGCAAGCTGTAATTAAAAATAAAAAGAGCTGAGTGCTTTTCTTTCCTTTACGGAAGTCTCCCTCTCCGGAGTCCCGGGAAGGGAGAGCCGGCGAGGGCTAAGCTGGGCTCCCGAATCCCATTCAGGTCGATCAGCGTGACCAGTCCCTCCTCCCCCCCAAAATTCCCTCGTTCTTTTCTGCAAGATACATGATTGTTTGCTTTTGACTAGATACATAACACATGTTTATTGCAGAAAATTCGCAAAATACAGATTAACAGGAAGGAGAAAATTTAAATCATCTGTAATACCACCAGCCATGAATAATCGCTGTTGACTTTGGTGGATGTATTTCCTGCCAGTCTAGATTTTTTTGCGTGTTTGTTTTCTCCACTTTGTGTTGTTTTATAAGAGCAGAGTCACACAGAACCTAACTTTCTTCTTCCTCTGTCATCTAGACGTAGCACGAACATTTTC